AGCCATCTGAACTCAGCCATCTGAACTCAGCCACTGATAACCCAACCCAGTCATCTGGCTGTGGTGGCAGTGTGTGGCAGCTATGGGCAGGTCAGGTTGTTTCTCTTGGCGACTGGGCTGTGCGATGCGGGGTTGCTATGGAAACGGCGGGTACATCCACTCACATGAATAAGGAAGAAGGTATTTGGTGACCTAAAGACCTTAACCTAAGGAAGATGATACTTCAAGGGCTTAGTCTAAAAGATTGGCTGCTAAAACATAATTAAAATGCGTTGTTTCGGTTGTCTTCTGTTATAAACTCTTATCCTTTTAATCAATTCTATGGCATATGTATAAGTAAAGATTGGCTGCGGCTGGGCCGGTGCATTCGGCTATGGTGTATAATTAAAATGCGTTGTTTCGGTTGTCTTCTGTTGTAAACTCTTATCCTTTTAATCAATTCTATGGCATATGTATAAGTAAAGATTGGCTGCGGCTGGGTTCTGCCGGTGCATTCGGCTATGGTGTATAATTAAAATGCGTTGTTTCGGTTGAAAACATTCGTATCCGTTAAGTGGCAGTCTATTAGTTCATACTTGTCATGCTAGTCTCACAACTATTACATTGTGAACTTCAGCCTTGGACCACTCCTGGCACAGATGACAGCCAACGCCATCAGAACTCTCACTCAAACAATATACATACAGCTGTCGATTCTATCGTACTTTTAATAGTTGCTCTACTGTCACCTAACCAATACATAACTGGGTATCGATTCTATTGTATCGTACTTTTAATATTTGCTCTAGTTGTCGTAGGGTGTGTCATCATCAGGAGTTTCCTCTGCCTCCCATCTCATTGCAGGCTGTGCTTGACCGTTTTGCATAAACGTTAGCATGCTCCAGACCTACGTACATCATGTCTTGCTCGACCCCACCATTCGCTTACCTCGTCATACAGCTATGTCTGTTGTTTAGTTAAACGCGTTCGTTCCGTTTCTCTGGTGCTCATTTGTCGCTCGGCTGTCAGTCCTTGTTTAGGTGACAGCGTTTCTTGGATGCGTTAAGTCGTGGGTCGCCTCTACTTTTCAATTTTTGCTTTGCCGCATAGGCAACGAACTTTTGAATCTGTGAGTGGAAGGGAAATGGACAGTCACGATCAATA